GTTGTATTTGTTAGGAGCACATTCCCTAATAGCAATGTTCCGGCACCAAGGGATAGAATGGTTCCAGTGGGATCAAAGGATAGAGACGAATAGCCCTTGGTCCTACTGCGCCGTGATTGCGTATATGGGCGATATTCCGTGCGCTGACTGGGGGAGGTTACAATCCGTCATCGAAATCGATGGTCGAACACACACAAGCCCCCATCCCCCCCTTCACCTGAGCAAAACCCAACGTGCACGCACGCCTCCTACATTTGCTCCTCCCCCTCCCCCCAAAATAAATAACGGCGCCTGGATCGATGTCTTGCTTTAGCAACTTTTGCCGGCGAATGCCTTGGGCGAAAAACCCTTGTTCAGATCAGACTAAATGCGTTCTAATAGGGGGAGGTCTGGGGGTAGAGGGATAGTGGGCGACTTTGTGCATCAAGTGCACTCTGAGCAGGCTCGGTTAAGCCAAATGTGTCGACGTAGTTTTTTACTTGCTGTCTGACTACCTTCTCAAACGGTGAACTAAATCTCTCTGGAAACCAATTGACCCAGGAATCATCTATTATTTTGGACATTTTACTGCTGTAAAATGTCTGAAAATAATGACAACGGTTCTACAAGTACACCGAAAGGTTCAAAAAGACTGTGTTCATCCGCTGATGCAAGAATAATGACAAACAGCGAGGATTTTTTAACGTCTTCTGACTGCTACTGGTTGTCCTGTTCTTCTTCTTCTTCTCCAGAAGAAGAAGAAAGAGACGGAGAAAAGCCTCTTTTTCATTTCTTGCCTTCTGCTTCTGCTGATAGCCTTAGGAAGCAAGTGAGGGAATGGGCTGTTGTCTGTGAAGTAAAGCATGAAACTTTACGTTATGTTCTAAGGCTAATGAAGGATAATCACCTGAAGGTCCTATTGGGCCCGAGGATGCTTTTAGAAACTGGTAATAAATATAAAATAATTCCCATGGACAATGGTGAATATGCTCACATTGGCCTGATTGATCAGTTAGTGGGGACTATCAAAGACGATTTAGGCCTACTTGCCGGGGCAGGTATGGTTGATGTACAACTGAACTGTGACGGACTGAATTTATTTAAAAAAAACTAAGGTGGACTTATGGCCACATCTAGGGAGGATAAGGCATCCATTTGTCAGTGGCGTCTTCCCTATAGGCATTTTCTTCGGTGATTCTAAGCCTGCAGATGTGCATAGTTATTGTCGGGCGTTAGTTAGTGAGATAATTACGGTTAGAAGTGGGGGCGTGTCAGTCCTAG